GTTGGCAACACAATTCATGCCGTTGGGAGCCGCAATTTTGGACAAATTCTCTCACTGTAGGGTTGTAGTTTTGAAAAAAAAAAAGGTAACATAATCAATTTTCCTCCTTACTTACAGCGCTCCCAGACATGCCCTTAATTAACCAAAAAAAATTACATCTTTATTAATAACAAATTAATTATTAAACAAAAATATTAAATATAAACTAAGCAAACGTGTATTGCACGTTGCTCGCACCTAGTATACCATATAAAGAGCTGTTTGTATAACAAATCACATCCTATATATTACATTATATAATGTTTTGTATACGATTTCAAGTTATTGATTTTTCAAAAAAATATTTTTTTTCTCTAAAGGTTTTTATTATATTTTTTAAAATAATATTTATTATCTTCTTTCCTAAAATCTAACATCAATCTTATAAAGCTTATTTTAGTTATTTAGTAAAATATCGAAAAAAAAAAAATCAGAAATGTTTCATTTGACTCTTGCAACATTGAAAAAAGGGGGAAAAAAAATTAATTAATTACGATCTCCTAATTAACAAAAATTGTTCAAGAAATAAAATTAAAAGCAATCAATTAAAATCATTTTTGATATTACTTGCATTTTGTAGTTAAAAAATAATTTCTTATTTATTTTAAGGTTGGATAATTTTGTAACAAAATATATATGTAAAGGCAGTGACGGATGGGGGGACTAGGCCAGATTGTTGCCCGATCCAGTCCCCAGCCCACTGAATTTTTTTAGGTAGAAGATTTTCCTTTTATGTAAAAAAGAAAAATTCATGTGTACTTTTTAATTTTTATTTTTTACGTATCAGCCCGAATTGTAATCCGTTCCTATAAAGGTGAAATAGTAATTGAAATTTTGAGAATAAAAAAATTAGTATGTAAATTGTTACATATTATAATACAAAGACGGTAATTTGTTATTTTCAATTATAAATTTTTTAGTTTATTTTTTGTCACCATAATATGGAAAGTGTGAAAACACTACATATGATATGTTTTGTAAATTCTCCCACATAGTTAGCAACAAAAAATCTCGGTGTATTAAGTAATTGATGTATCTCTCCATGCATAACAAACCCAACATATGAGTAGGAATACAGTTTTACATGGACGTCGCGTTGATATATTGATGTGAAATTTCATTTTATTCATCATGTAATTGAGGAATGTACCATTAAACTAAAAATGGTTCCAACACATTTCGATCCAGCAGATGATATGACTTGAGCATGCATGGCTTGTCCCAGCGAAATGGAACATGAGTTGAGTTGTGTTGGTGTCCGACCTCACACTTCATTGAGTAAAGAGCTCGGACGGAAAGTTCATGTACTGAACCACAAGATCGGACATTTGCTATCGTAATTAGCAAAAACATTATGATTCATAATCTTCGTCACATTGTCCCCACTTAAATACCAATCACTCCCAGAATGACACATGGTGACTATGACAACACCTATTTTTTAACATGTTAAGCAAGTAATGATTACCCAATATCAGGTTAACACTGACTGATGTCATAGTTGTGACCTATGCATTATGATGATCTGATTGACCGGTCTCGACAACCAATTAAGGAACTAGAATTTTGGAAGGTGGCACACATTTTTAGGATGGATAACGCAATTACTTTGTATTTTGATTCAATTTCCGGCGATCACACCTTTAAAATTTCCTTTTAAGTTGATCTAAACCTACCACGTCGTTTTTAGTGATCTATAAGTTGCAAGAACAATAGCAGCCATTTTTCCTTCGCTCTACTCTCTCGAGTTCTCTCGCATAAACATCTCTTCTTCATATTTCCTTTCGCAGTTTTTATTCAGAGATTAATTCTCTGCAATCCTTGAGACCCGTTTGATGCACATGGGTTCGAAAATTGCACCCAAAAAAATTCAACGGATATTTTCCGGTCCTATTCTTTTTCCCCTCCAGATGACCTGAGCCAGGCCGGGCCCACAAGCGGCATCACCTGGCCTCTTTGCAAGTTGCAACGTTACCGTGCCGATCCGGTTCGATTGGTACCACAGCATGCATGCGTGCACCATTAAAAATTCTTTGCACCAATGAGTGTCTGGAATAGATTTAGCGAAAGAAACATTAAGAAAAGATTATGTACCAGTTCTTTGTAGATTTTCCGGAGATTTGATACGAGTATGGTATATGAATTAACAAAGTGAATGTCTTTCTTTTCTTAATTTTTAAGCTGTGTTAATTTGAAATTAGGGTATGAAGGAAGAAATGACTCTAATTGTTTTCATATTCTATTTTTATGTACATTTCATCGATGAAAATGGAATTATTTATAAATTTGTTTGTCCCTCTTCAACAGTTAAATTTGAAAGGAAATTAATATTATTTTAATAATATTCCACAGGCCACAGATCCATTTCAAGCACAATACAAATGCCATGAAGACGTATAATGCTGCTTGAACAGGAGATTTTGACAAGATTTATTGACAAGCAACACCCGTACGGATGCTTTTTTTCCTAACTGTCCAATGAACAAATGACACGTGTCTTCCTGTTAAAAATTATGTTGTTGAGCTTGTTCCTGCAGCAAGGTTGCATGAAGACAATGTTTTGTGAGATCTTTGATGTTGTATCAAACGTGTCTTTAGATAAGAGCATAACGAATTGATAAGTACAACATGACTCGAAACCAAGGAAGAGTATAACTAAGATGTGAGAAAAAGAAACACAAGATGGTCTTTTGTTGAATCCTAGAATTCTGTTCTAGGATACTACAATCAAAATTCTCCAAATTTTCTTGTTTTCTTCTAAAATAAAAACTGAAAGCTGTCATGGAATTTCAGGGGAATATTTACTAAACCATCTAAAATATCGATTACAAGAACTTTATGCTTCTATTTGTATAGAGTCTAAACATGTGATGTTCGTTAATCTGGAGAATGTGTTCTTCTAAGTTCTTCAGTTATCTCCTCATTATAGCTTTCCTTCTAAACAATACAATAGCCGAGGATTCTCAGGACAGTTTCCATGAATATGAGAGAGACGCACTTTTGGCTCTCAAGAAGGGATTCAACAACTCATTTCTTGATGGAAACTGGTCTGGCATTCAGTGCTATATAAATAGCACCACTAATTGGTTTGGAATCCAGTGTATCGATGGTCAAGTCACCGGGGTAAGTTTGGAAAACATGGGGCTCATTGGAAAAATTGAGCCTGATGCACTAGTCAATCTTGCTGAGTTATCAGTCCTTAGTTTCAAGAACAATTCCATATCAGGGAATTTGATGGACTTTTCATATGATTCGAAACTGAAAAAAGTTGATTTGTCCGCAAACAGGTTTGATGGAGAAATCTCATCTTCTCTTTTGGGACTGAATTCCCTTGAATCTTTGCAGCTGCAAGATAACAATCTTGTTGGTTCAATACTGGGTTTCAACCAGTCGAGGTTGAGAGAATTCAATGTTTCTTATAACAATCTCTCAGGGAAAATACCAGAAACTGGAATTCTTCAATCATTTAGCCATTCTTCATTTGTTGGTAACCAAGATTTGTGTGGTGCACCTACTCCAACAGCCTGCAGTAGCAGCTTAAATGATTCATCTAATCCGTCAAATAGTGATAAAAAGAATCATACTTTCTCAGCCACTTTAGTGATGGTAAATGTGATTGTTCTTGTTGTACTTTTGATATTCTTCATTATTTACTACAAATATAAGAAGCTCAAAAAACAGATGAAGAGAAGGAACTCAGTCGAAGTTGTTGAAGAAAAAAGAGAAGTGATTACAAATAACTCCATGGAAAACAGTGTTCCTAGAGGAGAAGAAGACAAAGGGAAGCTTATGTTCTTAGATAAAAAGGGGACACATTTCGAGCTTGATGATCTTCTAAAAGCATCTGCGGAAGGTTTAGGCAATGGAAATTTTGGAAACTGCTATAAGGTTATGCTCGAAACTGGACCAGCTGTTGTTGTGAAGCGCCTAACGGATTTGAAACCTCTAAGCAGTGATGAATTTGTGAAATATGTACACGCCATTGCCGATAAGAAACACCCCAACTTGTTTCCTCCTCTTGCCTACTACTACTCCAAAGATGAGAAGCTGTTACTTTATAAATATGCATCCAATGGAAACTTATATAACCGCATTCATGGTACGTTTTTACCTCTTGTTCTTCTGTAATCCGATGTTCAATCGAATTGAATCGAGTGGAGTCTAGTCCCACCAACAAAACACGACATCCATGTTTTCATGAGGTTAATTTTCTGCCTTGATTTCATGTATTCGATAACTATAAGCTTTTTACAGTCAGCATCCAGGACCATAAATGTTTATACCTGCACCCCGTTTAATATCCATGTTCTTATGCATCTTCAAACCCTTGATATAGAGCAAGAGTCTTGAATCTTTTCGCTTGAACCTGATTTTAAATGTTTACTATCTGTACTTGTGAGAAGAATATATAAGACCGGTCATCTAAATGATTTAGATGGTGTGCATCTAACGATCTTTGATTTCTACATATTCTGAAGGAGGAAGAGGAACCCCGAATAGAGTACTATTCCGGTGGAGCACAAGATTGTCCATTGCTCGTGCTTTGGAATATCTACACTTGGCCATAAGATCACAAACCATTGCTCCACATGGAAATCTCAAATCATCCAACGTTCTTCTTGATGAAAATGATGAAGTTTTAGTCTCAGATTATGGCCTAATATCACTCATAGCACTTCCTATAGCAACTCAACGCATGGTTTCCTATAAATCACCAGAATATCAAGGCTACAAGAGAGTATCAAAAAAGTCTGATGTATGGAGCTATGGCTGCCTCCTTCTGGAACTGTTGACCGGTCGAATCCCGACCCAATCGGCCCCACAAGAGGCCAATGGAGCAGACCTCTGCAGTTGGGTTAACCGTGCAGTTAGAGAGGAATGGACAGCTGAGATATTTGACGTTGAAATAGCTGCTCAGAGAAGTGCCAATCATGGAATGCTCAGACTGATGCAGATTGCCATGAAATGCTGTGAAAAATCGCCTGAAAAACGGCCCGACATGGCTGAGGTTCTTAGAGAGGTTGAGGATATTAAGGTGATCGTTGACTCAGAAGATGAAGATTTGTCTTTGGATCAATCTCTCTAACAAATGATTCCCTTTCTGCTATTACTCCATCATTGCTAATTTCAGATGAACGCAGAAAATTTATTTTTCTCAAAAATATTACGACTGTCCTTCCTTTGTTTTAGACACCATAATATTGTAACATGGCATAATTCTTTGTTAATTCTTGCTTATGATTTTCCTAGGTTGGTCTACATTTTATGTCTTTAAGGTCTGAGGCCAGAGAACATGCAACAATTATTTGTTTCTTATAACTTGTTTGGAAGAGATTTTTCAAAGTACAAAAATGATTTTTTTTAAGAATGTGTGATTAAAAAGTAGGAAAAAGTTATTAGTGGTTAAAAATGATTCAAGGGGGAAAAAAAAATTCGTAGTAAATTATGTTTAAATTCTTCAATTTGTAAAGCATGAATTTTATGTGAGTTCAATCTATAGTCTTAAGGTGAATTATTTCAGTATTTATACTAGATTTCATTAATCCCAAAATTTGATGTTATAATCTTGTTCAAAAGCTCATAACATCCAACATAAACTATGCCTGACTTCTATGTTGTGGCAATGATGTGAGGTAGAGTACACAGTTCAAATGAGAATGCTTACTTTCAGAAAGTAAAACATCTACAGTTTCCACAAAATACAATATTAACGAGATCGCACGTCAAAACTCAAGTAAAGGAGCGGGGTTCTAAGCTTCACCCGCAGCAGGACTGTTAGGTTTTTTGATCCCCAATAAATCCGGCGATGATGAAAAACAGTTGTCGGATTATTTATCGTCACCATAGACTTGGCTCGACTCGGACACGACCTATATTTCTCAGATGACCCTAGTTGGATGTGGATTAATGTTGGTACATTGTTGTGGCTTTGATATTAGCCCATTAGTTTAGGTTTGTGGTAGCCCATTTACCTTAGTTTGTAGTTGGCCCATTTATTGGTAATCCTTGGCCCAATTGAGTAACCTAAACTAATGCCCCATTTATTCCCCCCCTTTCCAACCGTGTCAAGAGGTGTGGTGTGTGGTGGTGGTGTTGTGTGTGTGCAAGAGAAAAGAACGAGAGAA